CCCAGGAGTTGTAAACCCTTAGCCACAGTCTTAATGGCTGCTTTCCCAGATGACTGTGCTGGTGGAGACTTGTTAAGACTTTTAAAGTTACTCTTTCCCCCTTGGCTGTCGGTCCCACGCAAGCTAAGGAGAGAAGTCACAGGGTGCCTCCCACACAGCCCCCGAGCCTGGGCGCTGCCACCATCCCAATCAGCATTCAATTGCACTGTGATGTTTCTATTGCATTCATTGGATTTTGTAACTTCCTGTTCTTAATGTTATTTTTTAAACGCTTGAATGTGAAGCCTCAAAAATAAATAAAGAGAATAATTGACATTGACACAGGAGGTTTGTGTATAAAATGAGGACGTGCTGCGCCAAGGTGTGGTTGAGGTGTGGTTTTTGTTGTCCATAGGAGGAAGAGTACAACCAGAGGCATCTGGAAGAGTTCAGAGCAGGGGGTGAGAAAGTAGTAGCTTGAACATGGCCAGCAGATGGGACCTGGGTCATTGGGGGGCTGGGGGTGGGGTGGAGCAAGAGAGGAAGAGAAAGAGACAACCAAGAGAGAAGGGACCAAGAGAGGAAGACAAAAGAAGATGAGCCAAGAGAGGACATGGCCTAAATGGCAGGGTTACACAGGAATGAGAAGTTGGGGGAGGGAAGCCCGGGAGCTGGAGGAGTTTAGGGTAGAGGGTGGGGTGAGGAGACCTACAGATACCGAGTGAGTCTGGAGGCCAGCATGGTCTCTGGTAGTTAGGGCAGATAGCCAGCCATTTGCCTGGAGTTTTTTTTTAACCTGACAGTGTGTGCTGGCCTGTACTCACAGTAGCTCCTTTCCCCCCCCCCCCAACTCCCACCCCCGCAGAGTACTGTTCCTGTCCCTAACTTATGCATGAAGAAAGTGAAACACAGGGCAGTTCACTGGCCTGTCCACACAGTGAAAGTGTCCTCAGGATATGTCCCAGGCCTCAAGTACCAAAGACTGTGCGCTAACCACTACTTTACACTGCTTCCAAATAAATGCCCGGCAGCTGAGGTGGCATCTGCTTCATTGAAAGAGGTGGCCATCACTAGGGAGAGGTCCCAGTGGTGCTCTGTGCTGTCTATGGGGCGTTCAACATGATACTGACTGAAGCCTGAGCAGGCAGCAATAGCAAACTTCTTTGAATGGGGAATGGTTGTGGGGTTTTTTTTTTCGCAATTTTTTTAATTTAAAATGTTTACATTTATTCATTGACTTGTTGTCTGCATTTTGTATGGTGCACATATGTGTGACACATGAGTGGAGATCACAGGACTTTGCAGGAGTCCAGTTCTCTCGTTTCACCATGTGGGTCCCTGAGGACCAAACTCAGGTTGTTGGACTTGGCAGCAAGCACTTCTAGCCACCGAGCCACTGCATCTGCCTCAGCGTTTCTTACATTGTTTGGAGATGGCATACAGTCTAGCCTGGGTGGACCAGCAGGTGCTAACGCTGAGGATGAGTATGAAGACCCGATCCTCCATCTTCCACATCTGCGTTGGCTTTCCTGAGCTGTCACCCATGCTGGAGTGGGCTTTGGTGATGCAGCTGTCTGTGGGCCATTTCTGCTGCTATAAGCAGCCACATAAATTTACGGGTTCATTAAATTGAATTTTGGTGGTATCCTTACTTTCTGTCATTGATTCTCTGAGTAAGGAGTGTAGCATGAGTTCTAATTGGTCTTAATAATAAAAACTCAGAGTCAGTTATCAGGGGATGAAAGTGGGAGGATCAGAGAAGTGGAACAGCCGGCCACCAGAGAGTTCTTACCTCTACCAATGCTCAGACCAAAGGGGTGGTCCTGTCTTCGGATGCCTCCTCGGAGTGCATTGAACTCCTGTCTCCTCCCACTTATATTTCTCTCTCTGCCCAGCCATGTAACTCCTGTCTCTACCTCCCTAGTGCTGGGATTAAAGGCGGGTGATCCCAAATGTTGGGATCACCTTTGTGTGAGCTCTGTTTCCCTTTTAGACTGGATTAATTTTCTATAGCCCAGGGTAGCCTTGAACTGACAGGGATTCATCTGTCCCCAAGTCCTGGGATTAAAGGTGTGTGCCACCACGGGCTGACCTCTAGTGGCTTAGCTCTGCACTCTGATCTTCAAGTAGGCTTTATCTGTTAAAACAAAAATATCACTGCAGAGGAGATGTTTGTTCACATCTCCCCCAAATAGCGTCACACAAGGAGAGCCACCCTGGCTATCTGAGCCCAGATCTTGATCACTGACCTAGGTTAGGCAGGCACTGCTGACCATTCTCCGTATTGCCAGCAGCATTTCCTTCACAGCACAGCCCTAGTGAGTCTCCTTCAGGATGTCAAATGATGCCGATTTTCAAATGAGGGTGCTTATTGCACTAAAGTAGCAGCCGACATGCCCAGTGTCTCATAACCAGTTTGTGATGGCTAATGTTGGCCGTCAACTCGACTGAACTAAGATCGCCCAGAAAATGGACCAAGCACAATTCTGGGGGTCTTTGAGGGGGTTTCCAGAGAAGCTTGGGGAATAGAGCGGGAAAGACCTGCCCTAAATAGGGGCAGTATCGCCAACTAAGTAGAACCATAGCAACCAGATGATCATTGGAGATGGGTCCTTCGTGGTCTCTTGCTCCAGCTCGCATTCTTAAGACAAAGAAACAGGGGTTCCCAGAGGCCACTGGCTTCCTACAGTGGGCCGGCTACCCACAGCAGGTGCCACTGATTAAGTCCCTACCCTTCTCTGCCCCTTTAACGGGGGCCTTACCTGTCCTTCAGTGGCCACAGCCTACAGTCCCCCGTTGGACTCTCCTCACACTCTAAGCTGTGAGGAGCAGATACGAGCATGTCATACACCATCAGCCTAGCTGGCTTTCTATCACTGCATGTCCTCCTCTCCTACCCGACTGAGGGTTCTGGAGGATCAAAGCTCCCAGTGGCCATTGCTGACCTCTGCCTTTGGCACAGGCATGACCCAAGCTTGGTGTTGAGTGACTTATTAAAAGATGGACAAGTTCAGCCAGGCAAATGCCACTGAGCTGCCTCAAACCTGGAGGGCCCAGTATGTCTGGGTGTCCCTGGCCTCTGTCCGCACTCCATTTCTACCTCAGAATAAGAGCCAGCATCCTGATAGCACCCCATCTCCCCGCCTAAGCCATCCCTGAGGTCATCAGTGAACTGGGAAGGTTTTGCTGAGCAGATGTGACCTGGTCTGAATGTCTGAATTCTCCTCAGTTTTACACAGTGAAATCCTAACCCCTGAGCCCTTGGGAGGTCAGACCCTCAGGAATGGATTAGCGCCCCTATGAAGCAGACCCAGGGATCCCATGATGGCAAGATAGCCATGGAGTACAGCCATCTGCCATGGGCCCTCAGCACACACCCAATCTGCAGGAGCACTGATTTTAGACTCCCCAGCCTCTAGAACCATAAGAAATAAACTTAAATAAGCCAGATGGTCTGTGGTATTTTGTTATAGCAACAGGGATTGGTATGGGAAGTCCTTCTGTATATGTGTTGTTTCTATTGGTTAATGATAAAAGCTGTTTCAGCCAGTGGCTTAGCAGAATAGAACAAGGCGGGAATTCCAAGCAGATAAAAGAGGAAAGAAGGCAGAGTCAATGAGAAGCCATGTAGACACTATAGGATACTGATGCCTCTGCAGAAACCCGCCAAAACTTTGCAGGTAAGCCACTACCTCATGGTGATGCACAGATTAATAGAGATGGGTTAGTTTAGAATATGAGAGCTAGCTAGAAAATCGCTTAAGCTATTGGTTAAACAGTATTGCAAATAATATAGTTTTTGTGTGATTCAAGTCTGAGAGGCCAGGAACGAACAGCCTCCACCTACAAGGGTTAGCCTAAGAACATCAGACACCAAATAAAAGACAGCTCTCCCACCCACATTTCCCCACTGACTCCTTGATGAGAGCCTCCTTCTTCATTGTCCCATAATGCTTCTGGAACCAGCTCTGTTTACAAATCCAATTTTGGCAAAGTAAATATTCCACCACCCAACAGAGTGTTTGATAAAAAATAGTTCCTTGCCAGGCATGATAGTGCACACTTTTAATCCTAGTCCTTGGGAGGCAGAGGCGGACAGATCTCTGCAAGTTCAAAGCCAGCCTGGTCTACAGAACAAGTTTTAGGACAGTCAAGACTACATAGCGAGACCCTGTCTCAAAAACAAAAAAAAAAAAAAAAAAAAAAAAAGGAAAAAGAATAGTTCCTCAGCCTCTACCTTGCACAACTTTCCTCAGGAGGTAGTGTCCCTGTATCTGTGTGGCCTAGAAAAACAGCCGAGCACCCAGATCTCAGACCACTTCTGCCTGCCCCCAAGCACGCACCATGTCCTCATCACATAACAGGCCCCACGAGAAAAGCTCTATTGTCTCCACTCCACAGTAAATCCTGACATAGACCAGAAGCCTGACCGTCCTGAGGTTGAGGGGAGATTAGGAGGCTCAGCACAGCGACGGGCAAGTCTGCAGTGTGGAAATGAGGCCAGCACCCTCATCCTTCCCATTATCTCGATGCAGTCACAAAATCAGTCAGCAGCACACTTGGTCTGTGGCCCCAATTTGGAGTCCTGCAGAAATAACAGTCTTTGAAATCGTCAAAAAAGGCTCATCGTGTATGCACAGCTGCAAAAAGATGAGAGCGACATTACCAGGTCTGGGGTCACTTGCAAAGCACCTTGCCAGCTCAGGTTTCTTTGCAGACCTGGAGAGATCCTCCCCGGGATCATTCCTTTTAATTTCTCAAAAGGAAGTTTCAGTATTGTAGTCTCAAGTACGCTCGATCTCTGGAGTGGTGGTGAGCAGCAATTTATTTATTCGTTATCTATTTTTGAGGCATCAGGGAGAGTGCCTGCACATAAAAGGGACTGGCTTAATCTCCTTGGCATCCAGAGAGGCGCGATGGTTGACCCTGAGCTGGAGCCACAGCCCAGTTCCTTTTCCGCATTTCCTCACCATTCACTCGCTTGCTCGTGAGCCCTGTCACACAGCAGTGACCCACTGAGCAGCCAGTAAGTACAGCACTGTGCTGAGTGCCGGCTGGGGGCAGCCCACCAACATGGGCGTGGCTCCCTGTTGGTGCGGTGTTTGAGACAGTAAGTCAACAGCTATGCCAACAGTGGTAGATGGCATGAGGTCGAGAGCAGGCTGCCCACAGGAGCGGCAGGAAGACAGACGGGAAGCTACAAGCCGGGGGAAGGAAAAGCCCACATGGAAAGAACCTAAAGAAGGGTATTTCCAGAAAGGAAACTCCTGGATAGGTGAGTCTTTGCACCTCCACCATGCTCCAGCTTGGCTCTGCTAAGGGCATCAAGGAATGCTGGGAACATAGCAGTGCCAATGGGAAGGGAGGAGGGTGGATAGAGTCTGGATTGGTTCTGAATGTGGTGGGACAGTACCAAAAGGTCAGAGCAGGGGAGACACCCTCTGACTTTGGCATCTGACTCCTAGATACCAGAATCTCCCCTTCTTGACTCCATAGTGCCCCTTTCCCTTCATCTGGCCCTGATAATGCCACAAGGAATGCCCGCTGTTCTGTCCTGGCCCACCACGATCGTCTCTCTTACAGACTGAATATGTCTCAGACTTTGGTATTAAAATTCTAACACCTAATCTGATGGCCCTGAGAAGTGGAGCCTTAGGAGGCGACCATGTCATGGGGTGAAGACCTTCTGGGACTATGTCCCTTAAAAAGGAGACCCCTGAGAACTCTCTAGCCCTCTGCTGAATATGGTCACAACAAGAAGATAGCCATCCACAAACCAGGAATCAGGCTCTCACCAGACACTGAATCTGCCATCGCCAGGATCTTGAACTTTCCCAGGCCCCAGAGCTGTAGGACACACATTTGTTGGTTAAACCACATAGCATAGGGCCTTCTGTTAGAGCAGTCCAAGTGGACAAGACATAGCCCTTGTCTGTCTCTCCCCTCCCACATCAGGCTCCGGGCTGCAGAGAACAATCAACACCCAGCAAGTGACCAAGTCTTCTGGTCACACCCGCCCAGTTGTGTTCCTCCAATAGAACCTCCATGTCAGGTGGTTTCCAAAAAATGGGCTCCCGGCCCCAAAAGAGGAAGCAGAGACTGTCGCACTAGTCCCCCGTGGCTGTTAACTGCTACAATGAGCTCATAGGGTGTGGAAAAGGATGCGGAGCCTGCTGAGGCATCTCACAGATTTCAAGCCTGGGCAGAGATTGGGCAAGAAACTGGACAGCTGCACGGTGGGAAGAGGAGGGGCCGAGTAACACCGCCTCTCTGCAACCCCATGTCTCCTTGCCACACTGGGCCTTCTTCCAGGCAATGTGAGGCAGAGGCAAACGAGACATGGCCCTTTCCGCCAGGACTAGCAAACCAGAGACACGGCATGCACGGTAGTTCTCTCGAGCCCATGCCAGGAACGAATTCTAATGGATATGGGTGTTCTTGCTATGATGGTGACGGCAGTGCAGAGAGACGGGGTTGGGTGGCACTTTCACAAGCAAACCGACAGGTGAGGAGGTGCAGTAAGAGCCCCGAGAAGAAAGGCAAACTGAAGATTCCAGCATGGCATCGATTGCCAGCCCTCACTCGCTCAGCACGACACCATCGAATGCTCAGCACATCCTGACTCATCTGAAGCTTCCTGAGGGCCTATGGTGCTGAAGCAGATGCAAATAAGGGAGAAACCTCCGTGACTGCGGAAAGCAAGATTGATCTAGTCGAGCACGGCTGACGGTGTCTATTTATCACACGATCCATTAAGTGCAACTGCGAGCCTCAGGAGGGCGAGGGTATTAAGAAGCGCGTGTACCCAAAGGAACATGAACGGTCTCTCTCCGGCCATTAAAGTCATTCAATAAAAGACAGACAATGGACTTAGAGAGGAGACAGGTGGGAAACGTGCCCGTGAAAAGATGTCCAAAAGATTAATCTCTGGGCGGCACGGTGTAAGCTATGAGGAGACACCATTGACACCACTGTAGTATGGCTACAAGAAGTACTAACCATGTCAAGGATGGAGAAGGTGCAGCCTGGCCTATTAGCAGCTGGGAAGGTGCGAGATGACTACCCCCGGCAGTGGCCTGGCCCAGTCCTGTCGAGACCCTCTTCCTCAAAGACCCCAAGAGTACCCTCGGACAGTCACATAGATTTGGTTAAACGCCTAAGAATGGAACTAACGCAGCAATTATGGCGACACTTTAGAAACAGTGAAAATGGGGCATCACAGCTCCAGAAAGGAAAAATAGTGACATGCTCAAATAAGGTGACAATGGAGCAATAGGAAAATATAAAACTCAGGAACAAACACAAACACACACACACACACACACACACACACACACACACACACACCATTTTACTCCTACACACATGAATACTGAAGGAAAGAAACAAGACACCAAAGAGCTCAAGCAGTGTACATGGATCAATGCATATAAAATTCAAAGGGAAGAAAAATGAGACTCAAGGGTCACGGACCTATTCCTAGGGTCAAGTTTATGAAGAAGGAGGGACAGAAGGGCCATAGCCACTTGTGCCCAGGAGAGAAGAGCATGGCTAGAATGACACCAGAGGCCTTTTGGGGCTAGACAAAAAAGTTCTAATTCTCGTCCTCCTCTAGCCTCTTGCTCCTAAGGCCACACACACTGGTGGTCATAAGTGACATCCCTATGCTAAGGTCTGTCTTCCCTGGAACTTTCTATCAACTAATCACGGACACAGCTTAACACCAAATGGGAGCACGGAGGCCACTGTATGCCCTTCCATGCCGGGCACTGGCTCTGCACTCTACCGATCCAGTGTTCCAGACCTCAGTCCTCTGGTCTGTCAATACAACATGAGGGTCCCCGTTATGCCTAGCTCATAGCTAGGACAATAACTACTAAAAAGATGTGTCTCCAAATCCTTGTGTTAGACTGTGAACCCCAACACCATGGGTTTGGGAGGTGGACCTACTGAGGGTGACTTCATGAAGGCAGTCTTCATAAAAGGTTCATGCCATAACAGTGAAACTGGGGTATATATAAGGGAGGCTCCCTCTTGCCTGTCCTTCTGCCACGTCATGTCATGGGTAGCAGGAGAGCCCCACCAGACACTGCCACTGTGCTCTTCCATGTCCAGAACTATGAGCTAAATAAAATGTTTGTGTGTAATTTTTTCCAGTCTGTGGTCTTTAGTCATTGCCACGGAAAAGAACTAAGAACTGTGGGATTGACGCTCCACATGCCAGAGATGGTTCAGGTGTCTGAAGGCTGCTAGGAAGTGAGGTCAAACTGCACTCCTGTGGGTGGCCTGTCTGAGGTACTGCAAACACCCGTCTATGGGGTTCCGTGAACATCTTTCAGCAGCCAATAAGCTGGGGCCTCTGAGGCAGATTGCTCAGCCTATTTCCTGTTTTCAAACAGAGAACTCAGTGGAGCAGCGGACACTCAACCATCTCGTCTCCTCTCGTCTCATTGGGCCTTAGTCTCGTTGGGCCTTAGAACAGAGATCGGAGTGGGGCATGTGACTCTCCCGGAACCCTGGACCCACAGAGCCTGAAGATCCCAGGTCAGTCAGTGTTTGACCCCAAGCTCAGCTGGCTTCTGCCCACTGAGACTCTGACCTCATTGAGAGATCCTCTGGGAACTTGCTGGGGACAGAGCGGGAGGAATGGAGGCTGGTGAGAGCCTCTACCAGAAGGGCTTTCCTTAGAAACGGGGGGGGGGGGCAAACTGGGCATACCCCCTTCAATCTCTAGTCCTGGTTCCTTTTGAAATGCCAGGCACCATTCCTGTTCAGGGGAACAGGTCTAGACTTGTGTTTCTCAAAGACTGGAACTAATGACCCTGAAACAGAGCACAGAATCCAGAGCCCACCCCAAGGCTGTCTGGGTGTTGTAAGGTTGACAGCCTGCCTGTTTTTTAGAGCCCTGAGCACTTCCTCTCCCCGACCCCAATGGGGATTCTAATGCACACCCACGTTTGAGAGCTCTTCCCTTCTTGCAATGGGCTTCACAAGAAGGCACCAGGGGTCCCATGGCGCTCACCCTTCCCTGGCAGGGCATGTGGGAATGCCGCAGATGACACTCCAAGGAAGACCTGGGAAACCTGCCCAAGAAAGAAAGGGGCTTAGAATAAAACTCAACTGCCACTCCTGGCATTTCCTTCCTTCTTCTCTTTGAACGGGTGCTTCTCAATTCTTCTTTCTTGCGGGGAATAGCGAGGGCTTTTAGTACATTCTATTAGATGCTCGTCCCCTCTGGAACCCCCAAGAAAGGTGGCCTCTGTACCCCAGGAGGACTGAAGAGGCAGGAGCCCTAAAAGTGGGAAGCAGGGCACGCAGAACATGGAAAGAATGATTGTCATGCACAGGAGCTGGGGTGGAGAGGGAGGCACATTTCTGAGGTCTTCCAAGGCCTCAAATCAAGAAAACAGATCTGGAAAGACCTGGACCACTAAGGCCAGTTCCACACGCCCCCATTCACTGACCACTAAGGCCAGCAGCACACGCACCCATCACTGACCACTAAGGCCAGCTGCACACGCACCCATCACTGACCACTAAGGCCAGCTGCACATGCCCCCATTCACTGACCACTAAGGCCAGTTCCACACACCCCCATTCACTCACAGACAAAATGATAGAGAAAAGCGCAGAGTGGCCACAGAACACACTAAGTCCCCATTAGATAAGTCAGGTGTGGTGACCACACCTGCAGTCCCAACACTTGGGGGGCAGAGGCAGGGAGATTATGAGTTCCAGGCAGTCTGGGCTAAATAGTGTGGCACTGTCTCCAAAAACTTCCGTTACAAATGACAGCATGTGGACCACCTATAGCTAGCACTTAAAACAGTGCTTCTCAACCCGTGAGTCACAGACTCTGCATATCAGATGATTAGCAACAGTAGAAAATTACAGATAAGAAGTAGCAATGAAATAATTTTATGGCTGGGGTCCCCACAATATGAGAAACTATATTAAGGGGTGACAGCATTAGGAAGGTTGAGAACCGCTGACTTAGCAGAACAAGAGGGACCCAGCCCATCACCATGTCCTAACAGTGGGACAAGGCTGTCTTTTCTTCCCAGAGGGAAAAGGGAAAACAGAAGGTAGTGAATAACTTGCCCCAGGGCTGTTATATAATTGAGATGGAGGCCATTTCCTGACTCCTCCATAGGGCTGAGAGTTTGGCAAGGCACACAGTCTGTCGAGTACACAAGCATTTACAGCCCTGGGTCAGTTAGACCCCTGCTCTGTGCCTCAGTTTGCCCACCTATAAATGTCAGGCCTGATGGAGGGTCCTTGAAGGCACTTATTAGAGCACTGCTTAGAAAACAGCTCAGGGTTCCTTCCATGTCCTATCAAGAATAGCCCCCCTGAGGCATAGACTCAAGCCCAGCTAGCCTCCCATAGGCCAGGCCAAGAGTCCTGGAGAGGTGATGTCATCGTTACACCCCGGCCTTGAATTCCTGTACTATGGTGGTTAATCTTGCCAACTTAGCTGGATTTACCATCCCCTGGGAGCCAAGAGAAGTGCACCTCTAGGTGTGTCTGTGGGGTGTTTCCACAGATGACTAAGTAAGGGGGAAGGACCCACACTGAATGTGGGTAGCACTATCCCAAAGACTAGGAGGAAAAGAGGGAAGTGTGGTTCAGTGAGGTGGCTTAGCGGGTAAAGGTGTTTGCTGCTAAGACTGATGACCTGAACTCAAGCCCCATGACCCACGTGGTAGAAGGAGAGAACCCACCCTTGCAAGTTGTCATATGACCTCCATACTCTTCATGTGCATGTGTGAGCACACACGTGTATGTACTCACATGCATGCACATGTACACACACAGGTACACACGTACATACATGTTTTAAAAAGAAGTGGGAAAAGCCTCTATTAATGTAGGCATAGTCTCCCCCTTTCCCTTTCTCTCCCCTTCCTCCCTCCTCTCTGCTTCCTGGACACCAGGAGGTGAGCGGCTGTGTTCTGCCCATGCCCTCCCTGCTATGAGGAGCTGGAATCTGAAACTGAGCATAGGAAGCCCTTCCTCTGTCAGTTGTTCATCTCAGGCGTTGTCAGTGATGAGAAGAAAATCTACATGTGCCTAAAAGGGTGCCCGGCCATCTGTGCATCTAAGAGGAGGCTTTTATGACTCTTCTAATTTGCAGCTAGCTATCTGTCAAAAGCGTACACTTCTAGAGCCGTTTCATTACTATTTCTCACACACCTAATGCACATCAGATCCTAGTAACAGAAAGGACTGTGCCGTCCCTGGTGTGTGAAGGACGCTGAGTCTAAGCTCTATGGGGTAGACCTAGCTTGACCCTCAATCCAGCCTGTGAAGGTGGGTTCTGATACTGTACCCATTTTATAAGACACCAGGGCACAGGGCAGCTAGGTGGCTGACAGCTGCCAAGTCATCCATCCGTATGTGCACACACTGGACACTAGAAGCCTGCCGGCCTGCTGTCTGCCTCCTGTCCACTTCGGTAAGAGCAAAGATCATGTCGTCAGCCAACTTGGGCTTCTGTCCCAGCCCACACCTCAGCCTTTGCTGTCAGGCAGCCCTGCATCTCAGAGCCTCAGCACAAAATGAAAACACAAACACTCCCTGTGGAGGAGGGAAGTGAGACTGAGACCCTGAAGACAAAGTCACAGTGCGTCTGTGGAGGCAGTTCCATCTTGCTCCTTCGTACACTCACCAACCACAGACCTTGGGTTAGACCTGTTTCCGTATCTGTTATTTGGCAGGAGTGGCAAAGTTTTGTGGGTGTTGTATTAAAAAGGAAGGTGAGCCAGGCGGTGGTGGCGTACATCTTTAATCCCAGCACTCAGGACGCAGAGGCAGGCAGATCTCTGTGAGCTGTAGGCTAGCCTGGGCTATGCAGAGAAACCCTGTCTCAAAAAAAAAGAAAAAAAAAGGAAGTCTGAAGAACCAGTTGAGATGAACTAGGCATATTGAATATTTGCTTAAAAGTAGATACATGGGGTGCACTGTAATATAAAACTGGGTGGCGGGACATTTATCTTGACTAGATAGCATCTTTCTCCCAAGTAATTTCCAAAGTTACTGCTGTCACTTGACACGACTCCATGTGGAATCCAAAGCAACTGTACACTCCATGGATCACAACCCAGCTCAGGGTCTGTCTGTCCATCAGAGGGGAAGGCTAGGTTTGATCTAGCTGGGTGGGCAGCAGAGAATCAAGGACAGTGATCACTGATATTCCTCCATGCCTGTCAGCACAGATCACAACCAGAATCCCAAGCACCCCAGGATCTTGCAGGAGCCCCAACACGAGTTGGCTCTCACTACTCTCTTTTGCACCTCTAGCAGCCTTGGACCATGGCAAGTCTGGAGCATCCTGGGAGCCCTGGCTGGACAGGACCCATACACCAGTGCACACCAACAACCAGACAAGACGTAATGCCCTCTGGCCCAGACCTCCCATGTTCAGGACCAGAAGAACACTTAGGTAAACTTGAGATCTTGGGGTTCAGTGCCAGGGGGGCAGAAGTTAGTTCAAAGACATCTGAAGCTCTTCAGTGACTGCACCAAGAAGCTGGGTAACTGTCTTAACTGGGGTCACCCCTGAGAAGCCCCAAGACAAGGATTTGGTGCAGGCTCCTTATGTCGGAGGCAGAGCAGGGACTGGAAACAAGAGCAGCATCCTGTATAGGGGATGGATGATCCCATGACTGGGGCGGGTGCCTGGAACTCAGTCTGGATGAGGGTCCATGGGAAGGTGTAAGGAACATAACTAAGTTGTGCATCCAAGGGACAAAGAAGTCAGTGATTGTCCACCATCCCTTCCTGCAAACGCTGGCATGAGCATGTTGCTGTCGTCCTAGAGAGGCCCCAGGATTCTAAGTTGAGAGGCTTCCCAGAATAGTGGCTGCCAATGGGTCCTAGCCTGGCACTGACGATACCTGCAATAGTGCCATCTCCTGGACCAATCTCTCTTTACACCCATTCAAGATGGATCTGCAGAAGCCTGATGTGTGTCGTGCTTGGAAAGGAAAACTGATCTCCCTCCTAGCCTTCAAGCTCAGTCTCCATTAGTGAAAAATAATTAGAAACGTCACAAAGAAGCTACTGGAACCAAAGAGGAGGCACTTACTCCAGTATGGAGGGGAGATAGTGACACGTGAGTCACGTGACACAACATAAGGATTTCCCAGCCTGCACCTCTTGCAATAACTGCACATTTATTTATGCAGTAGTGTTGGAAGAAACTACACAGACTCTAAAAAGGGTGTGTGGTTCAAGTGAGGCTTAAGAAACACTGTCAAAAGCTGGACGGTGGGGGCACATATCTTTAACCCCAGCAGTTGGTAGGCAAAGGCGCACAGATCACTGTGAGTTGGAGCCTAGCCTGGTCTACAGAGTTCCAGGATAGTCAGAGTTACACAAAAAAAATCCTGTCTTGAAACAACAATAAAAAATACAAAACACTATTGGTTTCCAGGCAACGAACAGGAGGACTGGTTTCAAAGCAGAGAGTGGCAGGTGTACCCTGAAAGTGTTAGTCTAGTAAGTCCCTCCCCACCCCCACCCCCAGTTGAGGCTGAAATGACCCCCTCAGGGCTTCCTCACCACACTGATGTGCACTCATGGGCTCCATGGCTCCCTGGAGTCGATGCTGTAGGGAGTTCAGAAGCAAACATGGACACGTCCCTGTTTACCAGGGCACGTGGTTACAGAATAGTCCATCAGCGGGCTGGAAGTGGGTGATGCAACTCTCCCACAGTGCATTTCCTCACAAGAAGCAGTCGAGTGCTGCATTATTTGAGGTCAGTGCACTACGTGATTGACAGGGGCCTGGCTGATGCCCCAGCTGTGAGGGTGAGAGGAAGGGTAGGCCCTTCCAGAACACTGACAGCCTAAGCCAAGCAGACCCAGTCATCTTCCCCCAGCCCCCGCCTAGAGGGCACTGCCTACTGCAGACTCCTTAACGGCACTGTCCTTCCAGAAACCCAGGACGGTCCTAGCTCCAACTCCAGCATGACCACCAGGGAGCTACAGGAACACTGGCAGAAGGAGAAGAGCCGCTGGCGACACGTCAAGCTGCTCTTTGAGATCGCTTCAGCCCGCATCGAGGAGAGGAGAGTCTCCAAGTTTGTGGTAAGCAGAGCGTAGATGTGAGGAAGCCCCTGTCAGTCACCTCCCGCATGCTCCCAGGGAGGTCTCGGGAGACTTCAACTTTCCAGCCAGGATGTGACACACTAACTCACGGTCTTCCGAGAAATGGAGGTTTCATGCATGGCTCCGCATGCAGGGTCCCATGAAGATTAGAGATGTGTGATCACGTGACTGATCCCGTGATGTCAGGTGTCAGTTATCTGTAGCCCTTCTCCACTGACTCTGTGCTATCATCCAAACTACGTGCTTGGTTTTTATTCAAATGGCTTAAAAAAATACAACTACATTTCAGTAAAAGATCGGTTTCCCACGACACGAAGGAAAACCAATTGCAAAAGCAAACACAAAAGAAAGCTGAACTCTTATTAAATTCTAGCTGCTGGTCGTGGTTGTGGGAAGTGCCCTGCTGGGAGCTGCCATCTTTGTGAGACTGGGAGATCAGCATGTTCTAGAAGATAGAAGAGTCACACCAACCTCAGTAATTCCCACCTCTCCAGGAGCAGGCCGCCCCGTCCCTCCTTCTCACTGGGTCCAGCACAGTTACAATAGCCACCAGGGTTGCTGGGCACGGCTCTCCCTGATATCAGTCAGTTCCCTCACTGGTTTAATCCCCATGGAGAAAACAGGGACTATTCCTATACTCAAGTTAGCGAAGGGGAAGCTCAAAGAGGTTAAATTACCAAAGACTAACAAATGCCCAGGTGGTCCACACAAGCCCTCCCAATTCCAGCCCAAGCTTCCCAATTCAGAACTTTGAGCCCTCATTTTTATGATAAAAAGCCAAGAAGAGACCTCAGGTCCACGACCAAGTTCCTGCGCTCTTTTTCTTCCACGAAGCTTCTAAGCACTGTTAATCTAGGACCAACATTTGCCACGCAACCTTTACTGATAGTGAATACAGCATGGGTGTGTGTGTGTGTATGTGTGTGTATACGAGTCTCCAAGTGTATTATATGCATACACAAAATGGCAGAGGGCCCGCCACATGGCTCAGCCAGTAAAAGCACTTGCTGCCCAGCTTGACCACCCAGAAAGACAAGGTGGAAGGTGAGAACCAATTCCCACAAGTTGTCCTTTATACACACACATGCACACGCACACAGCGTGTGCACTCAGAGTGTCCCGAGGCTAGCCTCTCCGTACGTGTACATACACACAAACTGGGTGCATTAGGGGTGTCCCGTTGAACAGGTACATAGCATGTGCATTCGGAGTGTCCCAAGGCTACACACACGCTGCATGCATTGCGGGGTGTCCCGAGGCTACACACACACACACACACACACACACACACACATATTGCGTGCATTGGGGGTGTCCCGAGCCTAGCCTCTCCCTCTTCCTGCAGATGTATCAGGTCGTGGTCGTTCAGACAGGGAGCTTCGACAGCGACATGGCGGTGGTGGAGCGGCGCTACTCAGACTTCGAGAGGCTGCAGAAGGCCCTCCTGAAGCGCTTCGGGCCGGAGCTGGAGGACGTGGCCTTCCCGCGGAAGCGCCTGACGGGGAACCTGTCGGCCGAGACCATCTGCGAGCGCCGCCTGGAGCTGCGCGACTACCTGCGACTGCTGTACGCCGTGCGCGCCGTGCGCCGCTCGCGCGAGTTCGTCGACTTCCTGACACGGCCCGAGCTGCGCGAGGCCTTCGGCTGCCTGCGCGCCGGCCAGTACGCACGCGCGCTCGACCTGCTGGGCCGCGTGCTGCCGCTGCAGGAGAAGCTGACGGCGCACTGCCCGACCGCCGCCGTGCCCGCGCTCTGCGCCACGCTCGTCTGTCTGCGCGACCTGGAGCGGCCGGCCGAGGCTTTCGCAGTGGGCGAGCGCGCGCTGCAGCGCCTGCGGGCCCGCGAGAGCCACCGCTATTATGCGCCGCTGCTGGACGCCATGGTGCGCTTGGCCTACGCGCTGGGCAAGGACTTCGCGTCGCTGCAGGGCAGGCTGGATGACAGCCAGCTCCGGAGTCCCACGCACAGGGGCTTTACCCTGAAGGAGCTCACGGTGCGAGAGTATCTGTGCTGAGCCGGCCTGGCTGGTGCCCTGGCATCCAGACTGCGGACAAAGACCTGGGTCACTATCACTGGCGAGCTGCTTGGGGCTGTCACGGGTGGGTTTTGCTGGACAACTTTAGACAAGAACCTCTTTACTATGTCTGCTAAGCAGAGGGTCTCCTGAGATCCCTGGAAGAGTCATCTTGTGCCCCTTGGGTGCAAGGTTTTTTGAACCCAGAGCTCACAGGCTTAGCTGTCAAAACTTTGCAAGTACTGTGGGCCTTACCATCTGGGAATGGGATGAACTGCCTTCCGCAGAGAATGAGTTCAAGGCCAGCCTAGGCAATTTGGTGAGACTGTCTCAAAATACAGAGTTCTGAGGATGTAGCTCAATAGCTGAATGCTTGCGGAACATATGAGACGCCTTCATTTCAATCCGCAATACTACAATAAAAGAAAAAGAAGCACTCGGGTTTTTTTTTTGTTTGTTTGTTTTTTTTTTGTTTTTTTTTTTTTGTAAGCAGCCAGGGAAGAAGTTTGCATGACGACCTCGGACCTCATGGGACTAATGAGCTGAGCTGATGGAACAGTCTGGCTTGAAGCCTTAACCAGCTGCTGCATTCAGAGTGAATGAGCCAAGAGACCAAGGCACCATACTGATGTAGGAGGAGTTAGTTCTTCCAAGATAGGATTCACGAAACTGCACCCAAATCTTGTTCAACATCGATGCCTTATGGCAACTACCATAATAGGCCCGTGCAGGCCGTTAGAATGAAGCAGAGAGAGTCTTCCTTCAAGCACTTTTTCCAGGAAGACACTGCAAGTGGAAATACTGGGCTTCTTCAAAAACTGGTCTTGGGGGAAATTAATGGACTCAGTGGCAAAATAAAAGCTGTGTCTGTTTGTCCTGGTGATTCTGTAAGCTATTTCTTCAAGTCTAAAATGTACTCAATAAAATACAACAGAGAATACAGCGCCCTGTATACAGAATTAACAGGAAATTCTAGGGGAAAAAACTGAGTAGCCAAAGAACCGGATTCTCATTGTAAGGCTCAACCAATGTTGAGCCAAACTTCTGCCATGGTTTGAATGCCCCCACTTTGAACTCTAACTGTGAAATAGTAAGAGGGTAGAAATTGACGTGGCAGTGCATGCCTGTAATCCCACCACTCAGGAGGAGGCTAACACAGGAAGATTGTGTGTTCCAGGGCAGCCTGGGAGATGTAGTAAATTCCACCTTGGCTTGAGCTTTTATGTTCCAGGCCAGCCGGGGGTGCCTGTCTAAATAAAGAAGGGATTGGAAACTTATGCAAATATGGCGTCTGGAGGTGGCAATTTTGGAAAGTAATTGATACTAGACCGGAGCATAAGGGCAGGCCCCTGCAATAGCACGGGTGACCTCATCAAAGGTGCCTGCCTGTTCTGTCTTTCCTTGTGATTCCCCACACAGCCTTGGGACTCTGCGGAGTCCACCATTTAGAAGTCTCTTATCAGAAGCAGCCCTCTTGACTTTGGACCTCCAGAACAAAGAGCTGAAGAAGCCTCTGTTCTTTATGAACTATGCAGTCTATGGTACCTGGCTGCTGAACAGAAAATGGACCAAGACTCCTATGTGTTCCAACCTGTGACTAAGGACAATGGTGATGTGACCAAGGTGGAAAACATCTGGGAATCTGGACTCCAACTAGCACTCACCCACACCTGGGGCTGATTAATCACAGTTTGGGCTAACATAGCTTAAGCAAAGAGGCTGGGCCTCGGTGCTCTCTGATGGACATACCCTTGGCATTGTAAGGGAAATAAAAGGAATCTTATTTAAAAAGAGAAGGGTGTTCGACACTAAAATGTGTGTCTCCAGACTATGAACGGGCCGTGTGTTGGGAACGAGTGTGAGTAAATGTGTGTGGCTGTGTGGATGTGAGAGTGTAGAGGGATATCCCGTGTGCACACTGGGAGTAGCTACAGCATCGTGTAACAGGGTCTCCCTCAGTGCACCTGAAGAAGGACCCGTCGTCCTACACAGCGTGCAGGCAAGGACTTGTCCTGTTGGCCTGAGAGAGGCCAAAGCAGCTGCAGAACCCCTGCACACCTCTCCCTGACAGTGCCCTATGCTGCTCTCCTGTTGCGTGGTGAACTTTTCATCTGGAGAAATTTGAATAACATCTGTCCCACCTGGCGCTTCAGCGACAGAACCAAGTTTGGTGCCACCTGAGTTCGGTCCAGTAAAACATCCATCTACTGAGCTTGCGTGCAGCACACAGGTGGGGTGTTGCTTATAGGGTGTGTGCATGTGTGACCCCAAAGCACCGGCACCACGGAAGGCCTTGCTCTAGCAGAGATGCTGGCTTCCCCATGGCTGCACAGATGGAATCCCCCTTCACTTAACCTCTCACGGTCTGTAAGCTCTGGCACCTCCTGGGCCCACAAGACCATGCGCAACCCTGAGCAGAATTACATACAGCTGGGAGGGAGGCTTAGGGAGGAGTGGCTGGAACCCCAGGTGAGCATCTCTACACCCTTCCTACCCTCGTTCTACGAAGGAAGGCCCACAGGCAGCTCGAGAGGGGCTGTTGCTGTGGTCACAGCTGCTCTGACAATGGTGGGAATGGCCTTTCTGCTCGGAGGACAGTGATCTGCAGCACCTGCTTGGGTCTCCCAACAGCCTTCTCCTCGGCCACTGTAGTGTCTGCTGCTCACACGCACTGTGTTCAGCCATGATGATAGTTCAAGGGCCTGTGATAACTGCCACACCGGCCACCCCCTCCCAGCACCTGGAGTCAGAGACCTCCTTGTTTCCTGCACTCCTGGAAGAGGCCCTCGAGTTTGTAGGAGACCCCTCCAGGGAGCTTCCTCTTGGCCTACTCCAGCCATGACCCCGTGACCCCATGTAGTACTCCACTTCCCTGATTCCCAGAGCACCTCCCACCACAATGCCTTGTTCCTTGCTCCACAGGACATTGAGAATAGTGGCAGCCAGGACTGGACCTCCCTTTCCCAAACTGGCTCCCAAGGAGGGGGACAGTGTGTCTGCCCTTGGCGCTCAAAGAGGGACATAGCAACATATGAGTAGAGCGGTTTGCTCTGCCACACCCTCTCCACCATGGCATCCTTACCACAGCCCAGAAGTAGAACCGGAATGCCATAGACCGGCAGTGCCAGGAGAGAGACCCGCCACACAACATCCATGGACACGGGGCCCAATGGGATGCCCACCCTCACCCAAAGAGACACACAGACCCTGGCCTCTGAAACCCCGAGCCCAAACCAGTTTTTCCTTCCTTAATTTGTTTCTCTCGGGTGTTCATCAGTGAGACAGTCACAGCAGCAGCACGAGGCTCACAGCCATGCCCTTGAGCTTGCTCTGGATGTTAGCCCCAAAGCCTGGGGACTAGGCTTCCATGTTAGCAGTCTAGGTAGAGACGGGCAACCCCGTTACACCCCTAAGTCCACAGATGGCTACGTACCAGGCTTTTCTCCTGGTACTGCCAGCCCAACCCTGTCCAGGCCACACTCTGACACCACTTACAGCTGAGAACAAGCACCCTGGGGTGTTAAAGTGACTTTCCCAGGGTCACATGACTCCTATTCAGTAGAGCAGGAAGTGGAACTCAGGCTGTGTGACCCCACGTCCTCACCTCCATCACTGGAGGATGGAGGGTGGCTATTATTCTTTTTAAAGCGGGTGAGTGTGAAGGGTAGAGACAAACACGAGACAGATGAAACACGTACGGCGGAGCGGGGTGGAAAGGAGACGCAGACACGCGGCGGTCCCACGTGGGTGCACTTTAATGGGGGAGGGGTAACCACAGGTAAGGTACAGGTGTGCTGACACAAGAGGGTGGAAGGGGAAAAAGAGGGCTGGGACTCGTGGAGACTTGCTTTTAACGGGGAACGCAAGGGTATCTGGGAGAAGTGTCCTGCACATGTCATCGCGGTAATCCAGGGGATTGTTGGGAGCTGTAGTTTCCAGAAGGAACAACAGTGGCTGGTCCAGGACCCCTTATCCCGAAGAGCTCTTCAAGGCCGTGCCACCCCTCTGTTTACAGATGTGGAAAGTGCGCAGGGGCACTGTAAGATGTCTGGACCAGACCTGGGCTGCCCACCGCATGGCGAGATGCTCCCACGGGTAAGGCAGATGGAGGAATCCTTGTTTCAGATTCTAGATGCACTTGGTGGTCACCTAGCTGGACTTGGGGGGCTCAGGGTCAAGGACGCCTAGCTTCTGGGCTTCAGGCTACAGCGGGGGATAGAGGGTTTGCTCAGCTGTGCTCCCCCACCTCTCATGAGGTTCCTGTGGCTCTCTGCTTTGGAGCTCCTAGGGCCGGTTTCCCCTGTTAAGCCAGCATGTCCCAAAGGCCCATCCATCCCTGCTGGAAATGGCCTGGACAAGAGCTGGGCTGCACGGATGGTCGCTCTCAGCCTTTCCTCTTGGGTCCTGTTAGGCCACTGTAGGTTTTAATCACTTGCCATGTGCTATTTTCTTTTAGCGGTCTGTTTTATTTATGCAAATCTATTTGCAAAATGTAACTACAACTCCAAGTGGAAAGTCAGAATCCCTTGCCCTCATTAGAAGGTGACTCTAACAATAAACATAGTGACACCTGCCGCCCTCATTGCGACCAACAGGCCTTGCCCTGAGGCAGGTGGCAGGCCTCCACTGCTAAGTCCCATCTGTGCTGATGGACTCTGGGGACTGGCGAGCACTGCTCAGTGGGGAAGAGTGTCCACCGTGTGGTCCCCTCCTGCCAGCGCTGTCCTAAGCCATCTGGGTCTGACCCACATTACCCCAAGTCACCTGTCTGGTCCAAGCAAGCCATAGACTTCATCACCTACTGTTCATTCCTGAGCACTGGTCTCAGCCCTGTTTACTGTCTCCAAAGGCCTGTGTCCGCTTTGACTTTGATTGCCTGATCTTGAGCAGCAAAGTCGCATTGGAAGCTGGTATTCAAGCTTTAGTGCCCGACTTCAAGCTAATTCCAGATAACAGCACCCATTCTTGGAGGAAGGGATCTGGGCTGGCCAAAGCCTGACCCTGCAGTGTGTCCTCTGAAGGAGATCTTGGTGCAGCTAGCCATGCTGAGAGGAAAAACAATGAGACAAAACGCCCTCTGCCCCAGGGACCAGCCTCCATCGGACCCACACGGGCCATCTTGCCTGCCCTGTACCTGTGCCTGTCTTCTCAGAAGAGGGAAAGTCAAGGCACTTTTATGTCTTGGAGCCTAAGAAAAGAATGACAAGCTGGAGGCTGGGACTTGCTTATGCCAGCATGACAAGCCCTCAGCAAACAGAAGCTCTGACAGCATGGTGTCCTGTCGGGTCCGATGTCCCAACATATAACTACTTTTCCTTAACTGGACCGATACGGAGGCGCAGGAAATAATGAGACCCGGTTCACACAGCAATATCGGAAAGGGCATCTCAGGCTTCATTCATTCCTGAAGATCACCTGCGTTTATTATACAAACACCTTTTATTCCCCCCAGGTAAAACAAGGTGGAAACTCATTAATATTCTCTTTCAGGGGGGGACGCGGGAGTTCTGTCACACCAGCAACTCAGACACCAGCTTGGAATCCACACCTCTTCCCAGGCGATCTACATAATAACAAAGGGAAGGAGGGTCCATCCTGAGCCTTTTGTTAGGCGGCTACAGGTGTCTGGCCGGATAGCAGCTGCCCTTGGAAACTAAGCAAGGCCAGAGAACCTGGCTGCAAATATCTCGTAGGAAATGTGGGCCTACAGGGTCCCTCAGCCAGGTGGCTGGGGAAGAGTTCTCAGAGGAAGCGTTGCGTCTCTGAGGGTGCAAAGGAGCCAGCATGGAGCCCAAGTGAGGGAAAGCAGAATGTCAGTGTCAGGCCAGAACCTGACATCAGGTACCAGCAGATAGAAAGACATTGCTAGTGGCCGGCTCAGTGAAAGCCAATGAGCTGAGGAGCTTGTGCTTGGTGCGTGTGGAGCCCTTCATGAGTTCCACACACAAAACCACAAGTTACCCTGACACGGAAAGAACCTACTGTCTGACGATCCCAGCAGTGGACTGGCTGCTGGCCAAACTGGATCCGATCTCACCACGCATGCACGCACACATGGACATAAACATGCGCACACACACATACAAATACACACAGACACACACAACAGACGCTGACACACAGAGAGACACACACAGACACACGCATGCACATAGACAGGCACATGCACATGCGTGCACTTGCACACACACACACACAGAAACACACACAGACACACACACCACACAACAGACGCTGACACACACAGACACAGACACACGCATGCACATAGACAGGCACATGCGCATGTGTGCACTTGCACACACACACACACACACACATGCCACTCTGTTCTGCTTCCTCTGCTTTGCTTTCTCTCTCAGTGACAAGAGGACAGACAACCCTCCAAGATCACATGTTCTTTTCTTGGCAACTCCAGACGACTCTCTCTTGCAGGCTTCTTGTGTGGTCTTCGCACTCGGGATCTGTGGAAAGCACACACCTGTCCCTTCCCGATGGACCTGGAGGGGACATCTCACACATGCGGTGTACAACAACAGCTAGCATGGGCATCCACCTGGGCAGGCTTGAGCAGAGAGTTCTCGAGCATACTGTTTTGTGATCGACTTTGTAAAACACAATTGTGCTTAACTCGCCTTTGTCTGCAGTGTATAACATCCTCATGCTCTGGTTCTCGTGGTTTCCTACATGCTGATGTAGCTGCCACATTTTGCCATGTTTACTATGGTTCATATTCCTTTAGTAGACTGGGGCACCCTCCCATCGCTCT